GAATGTATTCAAGTTCTAACTGTCCTAACTCTAAGGGCAAAAGCTACCTCTATTTATATAAAATTGCCATTCTTTCGTGAGACTATAATTACTAATCTCAAGAAAGCTCCAGAAATTTCTGTAACATTCCAGGGGATTCTATGAGCTATTTTGACTAATGAGTTATTTGTGCTAGAGGTTTTTACCAGAGGTGGCGACCAGAGGTGTTAACCAAAGGTGTCAACCAGAGGTGTCGACCTTGCGTTACAATAAAAAATGATCTACATCTGTTACTCGTAAATAATAATACTAATATATAATGTTATACAAATAAAGAAATCTAACTAATAAACTAATATAATAATGTTAATAAAAATATATATAAAAATTAAGAAATAAGGTTAACAATTCCTTCCCACTTAGTTTTGAGCTCCTGCGAAATTCTGTTCCAGATTATTCATTCTATTACACTTCTGTAGAAATGTTTCAAATTCCCTTTTAGATAAAGTAAGTAACCAACGAGGGGTTACACGTTCTGTGAGTCGAATAGGAAATTCATTTATCTCCTGTAACAATTTGTATGCTCGTTTAGAGATTCTTTTTAAACGAGCAATGTTTTGTGAACTATACCTTCCTAATTGTTTTTGTAACTCTTGTTTAGTAATTGTCTGTTGTAATTGATTCATACGTGTTTCGATTAAAGAATATGCAAGTATTCTTTTTCCATTTGGGTTATTAACATTTTCTGAGTACTTTAATAACTTCTTAAGATCAGTTTCCACATATAACCCAAAGTCAAAGTCTAATTCAGCATTAAAAAGATCGAGGAGATAGGGTGTAAAATTAGTTTGTCTAATACTTTCAGTAGAGACATTAATTGTTTGGTCTGGAGTCTGAATAACATAATTAGTAGATGTTAACTGGACTTGGATATTATTAATGTCTTCAGGAAAGTCTCGATATAATTCGGTCAACTTTTGTTGTAGGTCTTGTAAAAAGGTTGTCATTTTGTCTTGGTCTTTTTCTTGGAATAGGGTAGGTATTTATAATTTCTTTTGAGCCTTAATAAATAGTAACTTGTGGTACCCAATTAGTACGTTCATGATATGGTCTCAATAATGAACCATTAATTGGTGCTTGTATAACCTTTCCTTCTAAGGTTCTCAATTTATATACTCCTGTATGTGGGTGATCATGGATGTAATACGGCCCTATCCATTTTGGATTTAATTTTCCTGTGTGACTCGTGTGTTTGGCGGCATCATATCTGAGAACTTTATCTCCTATTTCGTACTCTATTGGATTAATTATTTTTCGGTCATGATATTCCTTTTGTTTTTGTTGCTGTTTCCTTATTTGAATTTGTGTTTTTCCTCTATCTTCAGGTAATTTATCAACCAGGGTATACAAGCGGGATAAGAGATTTTCCTCAATATATTCAATTCCTTCTATGGTAGGAAATCGGGCTGTGCGACCATAAACAAGATAGAAAGGTTCTATTTTGGTGGTTGCTTGTTTTGCAGTTCTGTATGCGAACAAAACTGAAGGTACATTGATATCCCAATCGGTTGCAATCACTGTTGTTTTTGCTAAGGATTCACAAAGTGTTCTATTAAATCGTTCAGTTAAACCATTTGTCTCTGGATGATAAGGCGACGAGTACAAATGTCTAATTTTAAATTTTTCCATAAGGTTATCAACAACTTGATTTCGAAAATGAGTTCCTCTATCTGACAATATAGTTCGTGGACAACCATGTCGACAAATAATATCCTCGTAAATGAATTTAGCAGTAGTAGCTGCGGTGGCTTCAGAAACAGGTTGGGCTTCAGGCCATTTAGTTAAATAATCAGTTGCAACAATAATATATTTGTTGCCTCGTGGTGTTACAGGTAAGGGTCCTACAAAATCTATTCCTATCTTTTCAAAAGGGTTTCCTACAGGTATCAGTTGTAAGGGTTCAGGGTTTCGCTTTCGTCCTCTTCGTTGACAACTATCACATGCCTTTATATAGTCTCTAATATTCTCATACATTTGGGGCCAATAGTATAGGTTTCGAACTTTATTGAAGACAATATCAGTTCCTAAATGTCCTCCTATGGGGTGGTTATGTAGTATAAACAATATGGGTTCTACTTCATGTTTTTGAACTACTTTTAATAATTTTCTTCGAGTCTTTTTTCAACGATCTTTCTTGTATAATAAGTTGTTTTTAGTTTCAAAGAATTTGCTTTTTGCTTTCAATTGTTTTTGTTCAGTTATAGTAGATGTATAAGGGTAAGATTGGTAAAGAAGATAATTAAGTATTTGTTGATATTCTGTTAATTCCATTGTTATAAAATAAAATGCCAGGACACTGACAACTTGGACTGTATTTTTGCTTTACGTCAGATATTACTTTCTTTTAATTAGTTGTGGGGGTTATTGGGGTGTTCTAATATTCTAGTCGGGAAAGGGTATCAGCGTTATTATGTTTCCTTCCAGCTCGATGTAAAATAGTAAAATTGTAAGATTCTAATCTCAAAATCCAGCGTGCTCGACGTCCTTTTAATTCTGTGGTGCGTAACCATTTTAAAGCGGAATGATCAGTCACTACAAAGAAGGGAGAGATTCCAAAATAATATTTAAAATGTTCCACTGCCTATATAACAGCAAGGCATTCTTGTTCAGTCGTGAAGTAGTTTCGTTCAGCTCGATTAAGACTTCGGCTAGCGTAGGCGACTGCGTATTCGTTTTTGTTTTCATCTTCTGAGCCAATACGGCTCCTAATCCTGTTCCGGATGCATCAGTATGCAGATAAAAAGGTTGATTAAAATCTGGGTGACGTAGAATGGGAGCAGTTATAAGTTGAGTTTTTAGCCATTCAAAAGCCTCTTGTTGTTCACTTTTCCATTCAAAGGATTCATCTTTTTGTAATAATTGATTCAGGGATTTAGCTTTCTTGGAAAAATCTTTGATAAATTTTCGGTAGTATGAGGCAAGACCCAAAAAGCCTCTAAGAGTTTGTAAATTAGTTGGTTGGGGAAATTCTTTAACCTTTATCAATTTTTCTTCATCAGGTCAGATTCCTTGCCAAGAGATTTCATGTCCCAAAAACGTGATAGAGTGTAAGAAAAAGTGACATTTATCTTTGTTTAATTTCAGCTGCGCATTTTGTAAGGTTTGGAAGATAAGGGATAGATGTTGTACGTGTTCCTCAAAGGTTTTAGAGTAGATAGTAAGGTCGTCAAGATATACAAGTACAAATTTGCCAAGATACTTCTTCATTACTTGGTCCATTAGACGTTGAAAAGTTGCGGGAGCATTGCAAAGTCCAAAAGGCATAACATTAAATTCGTATAGTCCAAACTTAGTTATGAAGGCGGTTTTCTTTCGGTCCTCTTCTTTCACAGCTACTTGCCAATAGCCAGAGGCAAGATCAAGACTCGAGAACCATTTTGCACCTTTAAAGGATTCCAGGATATCATCAATTACAGGGAGGGGGTAGACATCCTTTTCAGTCACCTGATTTAATTTTCTGTAGTCGACGCAAATTCGTTGTTTCCCATTTTTCTTTGGTACTAATACAATAGGGGAAGCCCACGGACTAGCGGACTCCCTGATTAAACCTTTTTCTAACATGGTTTGTATTTCTCGTTTAACAAAGTCTTGATTGCTAGGAGCAATTCTATAAGCCCTTTGTTTAACTGGAGTTGCGTCCTTAGTATTGATAGTATGTTCTACAATATGGGTCTGTCCTAGTTCGATGGTTTGTCCCTCTTCAGATATATTTTCTGCAAATACATCAGGGTATCCTGTAAATAGTTCATCTACTTTTTGTTCTTGTATTTTATCTAGTACTCCTACTTGGAAGGGAGGTTTATCTTCTGTTATAGTTTCAGTTAAATAGAGTGCAGGGTTATAGTCGTTGGGTGTTTCAATTTCGCAAAAATCTTTATATTCTTCTTGTTTCCAGGGGTTAGAATATAAGTCTTGTTCATCCCAATAATCAGACATCTCAGAATGGAAGGTTTCATTTTCATCTAGTTCACTCTCAAGTTCATACTCAAGGTCTTGTTGGACTTGGTCTTCATCTTGTTCCTCTTCAGATTCAATATTTAGAGGGTCATTATAGGTATGTGTAGTTTGTACAATTGTTTGATCACCATTGTAGAACAGTCCCAGAGTTTTATCGGCAAAGTTCCATTGTGCTTGAGTCTTTTCGAAGAAGTCAGTTCCTAATAATAAAGTTTCTTCTGAAGACTCAATTACTTGTAACTTCATGGGGACTAGTAAATTTTGTATGCCTATAGGAACATAGTCAATCTGTCCTAAGGCACGTTGCCTAGCTCCATTGGCAGTGATAACTACAACCTTTGACGGGCCATTAATAGTAAGTTCCAATTTCTTTCGTAACTTGTTGGTAATGATACTAACAGCAGCACCAGAATCGAGTACAGCAACTACTGGATTCCTCCCAATTCGTACGTAACATTTAGCCGCAGTAGTTCGCTTAACTTCATCAGTCTCCACGTGATTAGTCTCCTTTTGCTGTGCAGGTCGTTTGAGAATCTTTGTTAAGTTCCTTTTTTGGTCAGGGTATTTCAATAACTGTCCTATTTTAGCGCTGGACTGCATATGGAGGATGTCCTGCGAAATATCGTATGGGGTCAATTGATCGACAACTGACGGTTGTCGTTTCATTCTGGGCTTCTTTTCACTTTTTGTTTTTAATGTTATTTTTGGTAAGTCTTCCTGCATAGGTTCATCCTCATAAGGGTCTTGTTCAAAATCAACCAAGATCTCAGGTTGTTGATTATTGATAACAGGTGTAGCTTTTGGAGGTACAGGATTCTTTGGTCTTCCTGGTTTGCGTAGAGGGGTAGTTCAGTTATTAGGTTTGTTTCGTATAGCTTCATAGACTTCGCATTCATCGTCACTGTCATTGTCATATTCAACATAACTGACATTTCGTCTATTTTGATTTTGAGGGTATGTTTTCTTTTCAACTAGACAGTCACGAGCAAAATGTCCAACCTCATTGCAATTATAACACCTGCGTGGACCACTGTTGTTATTGTAATTATTATTGTTGTTATTATTGTCATTGTTGAAATTATTATTTCTAAAATATTCACGGGAATTATTAGTTCGTCTCTGATTCTGATACCCAATTTTTTTGGTTAACCCTTCGACTTGTTGCATTAAGTTGATCTGCAACTTATTAAACCGTTTAGTTAATTTACCCATTTCGTCACTGCTAGAGGATTTCTTTTTCTCCTTATTTTTCTTTTTCTTTTTAGATTTCTCCTCTTCACTTGAGCTAGCAGAACTTTCATTGCTGGAACTTTTATATTGTCAGTACTTTTTTTGGGACTTTTTCGTTTCCATATTCCAGACTCATATAGTTTAGCTTTTGTTAAAGCTTTAGCCAGATCAACAGGAGCATATGTCTTAACTACGGCCTTAATCTCAGGTAATAATCCTCGAACAAAGTAAGGAAGAGTGGCAGCAGGATTTAGTTCAGCTCGAGTAGCCATTCGCCTAACTTGGTAATAGTAGTCTTCAACAGTCTCACTTCTGCGTTGTTTAAAACCTCGTAATTCCTCAGTCCATTGTTCGCAGAAATCGTTGTTTAGATACTTGGCTGTAAAAGCAGCTGAAAGTTGATCCCAAGTATGTGCATTGCCGTCTGTTCATTCAAGATACCAATCTCGAGCTCCTTTTCGGAGATAAGCTCCAAAAGTTTCTTTCTTACGATTGGCATTCCATCCGTTTGCTTGAGCGGCCATTAAGAAGTCTTCATACCATTCTTGTGGGTCTTCCTTGCTAGAACCAGAAAATTTCGTGGGTTTTACTACTGTAGCCATTATTTCTTGTAGTGGTTCGAGTTCAAGTTCAGGTTCAAGTTCAGGTTCAGGTTCACCGTTATTATTTTCAACTTCAACTTCAAATTCAATTTGATCAAGATAGTTATCAAAAACCTCCTGTTCGTAATCTTGAGGTGGGTTAATATTTATTTCAACTTCAGATGCAGAAGAGTCACTAGTTTCTGAAAAGTTATTCTCGGTATTGTGTGCTGATCCTTGTATAATAATTCTTTCGTAATTTTCTAGGTTATTATTAGTTCGGGATCCTTCTCCTAGTGGTCGATACTCTTCTTCGTCACTTTCGTCGTTAATTTCAAAAATACTTCGATTTGGACTTTGAGGGTTGCTGCCTGGTGGAGATGATCTAGTTTGGGTCAATTCGACTGGGAATATCGGACTTAAATTACCGCCTCGTGGCAATAGAGAAGGTGAAGTTCGAGGTGATAAGTCACTTAAAGAGAAATTAGGTCAGTTGATTTCTCTATTTTGATATAGTCGGTAAAAGGGTCTTCTACTAGGTGTGAATTGAGTGAATGGGATGGGGGTGTTGATATTTGTATTGGGTTGCGAGTGACTTCAGGAATGTCGATTAGTATTATCCACTTTTTAATTTGGAACTTTCCAGTCACGTTTGTCTTTTTTTGGGATATTGAAAAAGTTTTGTCCGTTATCTATTAAGATGTTGTCTCGGATCCACACGTGATGTTTAATTTGGTCCAAATGGTCTTTAACAATATTTAGATCCTTAAGAGTATAACAAGTTTCGTATTCGGGATTTTCTTCTTGTTTAGCTAATTCTCGTTCAACAATTTCAGAAACAGCTTGGTCTTTTAACTCAATGGCTTTTTCAACACAAGCGTTTCGTGCCTTTGCTCTCATAAAGAATATTAGGGAAAATTATCAGATCTCACAGTCACCACCAAATTGTTGACCGTGATTACCTTTACTAAACACGATTAACTAACAACTAATAACAGGGAAACTATTGTCCAAAAGATCACAAAGCAATTGGACGAATATGTTATAGTTGGAAGGTTTTATACTTGGAGAGGTATAAAGGGTAAAGGATTTAATGATGCGGGTTTGTTCGAAAGAGGCTAAGGTGTGAGGTTTTTAAAGGGATATGGGGTTTAAACAATATGACACTAAGTCAACTAATATTCACACAGAATATTATAAGTTTCACACAGAAACGACAAGAATTCACACAGAATTAATATAATTAACCAAGATCACGAAGCAAGGTTAATTATAGGCAAAATAATACCGAGATCACGAAGCAGGGTATTATTATCAAACAGTATTTCACTAAGAAGTCAAAGGTTTCAAATTATTATTTTGTCACAAAGACTTTTATTAATAATTTATTACATATATCGAGTTCAGAATGTATTCAAGTTCTAACTGTCCTAACTCTAAGGGCAAAAGCTACCTCTATTTATATAAAATTGCCATTCTTTCGCGAGACTATAATTACTAATCTCAAGAAAGCTCCAGAAATTTCCGTAACATTTTAGGAGATTCTATGAGCTATTTTGACTAATGAGTTATTTGTGCTAGAGGTTTTTACCAGAGGTGGCAACCAGAGGTGTTAACCAAAGGTGTCAACCAGAGGTGTCGACCTTGCATTACAATAAAAATGATCTACATCTGTTACTCGTAAATAATAGTTCTAATATATAATGTTATACAAATATAGAAATCTGACTAATAAACTAATATAATAATGCTAATAAAAATATATATATAAAAATTAAAAAATAAGGTTAACAGTACAGATATATTTATTGAATGGTTTAATTATCTTGATAATTATTTCTGAACAATGAATAGCACTGGTCGAAAATTGATAAAACATACACATATCAGGTATCTGATATGTGTATGTTTTATCAATTTTCAACTAGTGCAGAAAAATAATACTTCTTATTGATAATGCAGGTTCACATTTTAATGCAAAAAGATTAGAAAAAGATAATTCTGATATTTCTGAAGATGAATTTGACAATGAACAGGGATCAAGTAATAAATCAAAAAATATACCTAAGCTTTCCAATATTAAACTCATTTATCTTCCGCCTAACACAACAGCTCATTTACAGCCTATGGATGCAGGAATTATCCATAGTTTTAAAGCAAAATACAAACAAGAATTTTGTAGACATTTAATTCAACAATTTGATTCTGAAATAGATCATATAAAGTAAGTTTATTTTTATTAACAATTTAAATTTTATTTTTGATAATTTTTTTTGTATTATTAAATTTTATTAACTTTATTTGATTAATTATGATTTTCATTTTTTAATTTTAATTGTAAAAATAAATTAAATATTAAAGATGCTATTGATTATATAGCTGAAGAATGGAATAATGTTACTCAAAAAACAATCCATAACT